TATTCTCGGATTATTTTGGACTTTCTATACACATACTACTCACCAATGGGGAATGTTTTCCCAATTTCTGGTGACGGCTTGTTGGTGGGTGACGACATTGAGGATTATTCGGTTGGAATCTTTGGTCGTGGCTGCTCGTCTGTGGTGAGAACTTTCGATTTTTTATCAGATTCTTTGGGACTTTCTTTAAACACAGACTGCTCACCAATGGCGGTGTTTTTCCAATTTCTAGTGACTTCTCATTGGTGGGTGATGATGGTGAGGATTGTTTTGTGGGACTCTTTGGTGGTGGCGGCTTGCCCATGGTAAAAACTTCTCATTTTTTCTCGAATTCTTTGAGACTTTCTTTAAATACAGACTGCTCATAAATGGGGGATGTTTTACCAAGTTTTGGTGATGGCTCCTTGGTGGATGACGACCGTGGGGATTATTTGGTGGAACTCTTTGGTGGTGGCGGCTCGTCTGTGGTGAAAACATCCCATTTTTTGTCGGATTTTTTGAGATTTTCTTTAAACATAGACTGCTCACCAATGGGGGATGTTTTGCTAAATTCTGGGGAGGGCTCGTTGGTGGGTGACGACGGTGAGGATTGTTTGGTGGGACTCTTTGGTGGTTGCGACTCGCCCTTGGTGAAAACTTCACATTTTTTCTCAGATTTTTTGGAACTTTCTTTAAACACAGACTTCTTACGAATGGGATCTGTTTTGCCAATTTCTGGTGACGGGTGACGTCAGTGAGGATAATTTGGTGGGACTTTTTGGTGGTGGTGACTCATTCATTATGAAAAATTTCCATTTTTTCTTGAATATTTTGGGACTTTCTTTAAACACATACTACTCGTCAATGGGGGATGTTTTTCCAATTTCTGATGATGGCTCGTTGGTGGGTGACAACGGAGAGGATTGTTTGGTGGGACTCTTTGGTGGTGGAGACTCGCTCGTGGTAGAAAATTCCCATTTTTTCTCAGATTCTCTGGGACATTCTTTACACAGACTGTTCACCAATGGGGGATGTTTTGCCAATTTCTGGTGATGGCTCATTGGTGGGTGACGACAGCGAGGATTGTTTGGTGGGACTCTTTTGTGGTGGCGCCTTGCCCGTGGTAAAAACTTCTCATTTTTTCTCGAATTCTTTAGGACTTTCTTTAAATACATACTGCTCACCAGTGGGGGATGTTTTACCAATTTTTGGTGACGGCTCTTTGGTGGATAACGACGATGAGTATTATTTGGTAAGAATCTTTGGTGGTGGCGGCTCGTCCGCGGTGAAAACTTCCCATTTTTTCTAGGGTTCTTTGAGACTTTCTTTAAACACAGACTCTTCGTCAATGGGGGATTTTTTTGCCAAAGTCTTGTAATGGCTCTTTTGTGGGTGGCGATGGTAAGGATTTTTTGGTAGGACTTTTTGGTGGTTGCGGCTCGTCAATGGTTAAAACTTCCGATTTTTTCTCGAATTCTTTAGGACTTTCTTTAAACACAGACTGCTCACCAATGGGGTTGTTTTTCCAATTTTTGGTGACAGCTCGTTGGTCGGTGACGACAGTGAGGATTGTTTGGTTGGAATCTTTGGTGGAGGCGGCTCGCCCTTGGTAAAAATTTCCCATTTTTTCTCGGATTCTTTGGGACTTTCTTTAAACACATACTACTTACCAATAGGGGATGTTTTGTCAATTTTTGGTGACGACTCGTTGGTCGGTGACGACGGTGAGGATTGTTTGGTGGGACTCCTTGGTGGTGACGGCTCGCCATTGGTGAAAACTTCCCTTTTCTAGGATTCTTTGGGACTTTTTTTAAACAGAGACTACTCACCAATGGGGGATGTTTTGCCAATTTCTGGTGACGGCTCATTGGTGGTTGACGATAGTGAGGATTTTTTGGTGGGACTCTTTGGTGGTGGTGGCTCTCTTGTGGTGAAAACTTCTCATTTATGCTCGGATTCTTTGGGACTTTCTTTAAACACAGACTGATCACCAAAGTGTGATGTTTTGTCAATTTCTGGTGACGGCTCGTTGGTGGGCGACGACGGTGAGGATTGTTTGGTGGGACTCTCTGGTGGTGTCCGCTCGTCCGTGGTGGAAACTTCTCATTTGTTCTCAGATTCTTCAAGACTTTCTTTAAATACATACTGCTCACCAATGGGGGATGTTTTGCAAATTTCTGGTGACGGCTCATTGGTAAGGGATGACGGTAAGGATTGTTTGGTGGAATTTTTTGATAGTGGAGGCTCGCCTTTGGTGAAAACTCCCCATTTTTTCTCGGATTCTTTAGGACTTTCTTTAAATACGGACTGCTCACCAATGGGGGGTGTTTTGCCAATTTCTGGTGATGCCTGGTTAGTGGGTGACGACGGTGAGGATTGTTTGGTGTGACTCTTTGGTTGTGGAAGCTCGTCCATTGTGAAAACTTCCCATTTTTTCTTGGGTTTTTTGGGACTTTCTTTAAACACAAACTGCTCACGGATGGGGGATGTTTTGCAAATTTTAAGTGACAGATCATTGGTGGGAGACGACGGTGAGGATTGTTTAGTGGAACTCTTTGGTGGTGGCGGCTCGCCCGTTGTGATAACTTCCCATTTTTTTCGGATTCTTTTGGACTTTCTATACAAACATTTTTCACCAATGGGGAATGTTTTGCTAATTTTCGGTGACAGCTTGTTGGTGGGTGTCAACAGTGAGGATTGTTGGGTTAGACTTTCTGGTGGTGGCGGCTCGTTCATGGTGAAAACTTCTGATTTTTTTCTCGGATTCTTTGGAACTTTCTTTAAACACATATTGCTCACCAATGAGGGCGTGTTGCTAATTTCTGGTGGCGGCTCATTGGTGGGTGATGACACTGAGGATTATTTGGTGGGACTATTTGGTGGTGGCGCCTTGCCCATGGTAAACACTTCTCATTTTTTCTCGGATTCTTTGGGAATTTCTTTAAATACAAACTTCTCACTAATGGGGGATGATTAGCCATTTTCTGGTGACGGCTCATTGGTGGATGACGACCATGGGGATTATTTGGTAAGACTCTTTGGTGGTGGTGGCTCGTTCGTGGTGAAAATATCCCATTTTTGCTTGGATTGTTTGAGACTTTCTTTAAACATAGATTTGTCACCAATGGGGGATGTTTTGCCAAATTCTGGTCAGGGCTCGTTGGTGGGTGACGGCGGTAAGGATTGTTTGGTAGGAATCTTTGGTGGTTGCAGCTCGTTCGTGGTGAAAACATTTAATTTTTTCTCGGATTCTTTGGGACTTTCTTTAAACAAAGACTGCTCAACAATGAAGTTACTTTTCCAATTTTTGGTGAAGGATCGTTGGTGGGTGACGAAGGTGAGGATTGTTTGGTTGAAATCTTTGGTGGTGGCGGCTTGCCATTGGTAAAAACTTCTCATTTTTTCTCGGATTCTTCGGGACTTTCTTTAAACACAGATTGCTCATCAATAGGGGATGTTTTGCCAATTTTTGGTGACGGCTTGTTGGTGGGTAATGACGGTGAGGATTGTTTGGTAGGACTCTTTTATGCTGGAGGCTCGCCCGTGGCGAAAACTTCCCTTTTTTTCTCAGATTCTTTGGGACTTTCTTTAAACAGAGACTTCTCACCAATGGGGGGTGTTTTTCCAATTTCTGGTGACGGCTTGTTGGTGGGTGACGATGGTGAGGATTTTTTTTGTGGGACTCTTTGGTGGTGGCGGCTCGCCCGTGGTGAAAACTTCTCATTTTTTCTCGGATTCTTTGAGCCATTCTTTAAACACAGACTGCTCACCAATGGGGGATGTTTTGCATATTTTAGGTGACGGTTCGTAGGTGGGTGACGACAGTAAGGATTGTTTGGTGAGATTCTTTTATTGTGGTGGCTCTGCAGTGGAGAAAACTTCCCATTTTTTCTCGGATTCTTTGGGGCTTTCTTTAAATACGGAGTGCTCACCAATGAGGGGTGTTTTGCAAATTTCTGGTGACGGCTCGTTAGTGGGTGACGACGGTGAGAATTGTTTCGTGAGACTCTTTGGTTGTGGCAGCTCGTTCATGGTGAAAACTTCCCATTTTTTCTTGGATCTTTTGGGACTTTCTTTAAACACATATTGCTCACCAATGGGGAATGTTTTGCAAATTTCAAGTGACAGCTCATTGTGGGTGACGATGGTGAAGATTTTTTAGTGGAATTATTTGGTGGGGGAGGCTCGCCCATGGTGATAACTACCCATTTTTTTTGGATTCTTTTAGAATTTCTATACAAAGATTTTTCACCAATGGGGAATGTTTTGCTAATTTTTGGTGATGGCTTGTTGGTGGGTGTCGACAGTGAGGATTGTTGGTTGGACTCTTTAGTGGTGGCGGCTCGTCCGTGGTGAAAACTTCTGATTTTTTCTCGGATTGTTTGGGACTTTCTTTAATCACAGACTGCTCACCAATTTGGGTGTTTTGCTAATTTCTGGTGAAGGCTCATTGGCGGGTGACGACGGTGAGGATTGTTTGGTGGGTCTCTTTGGTGATGACGCCTCGCCCGTGGTAAAAACTTCACAATTTATCTCAGATTCTTTGGGACTTTCTTTAAATAAAGACTGCCCACCAATGAGGGTGTTTTGTTAATTTATGGTGACGACTCATTGGTGGGTGACGACGATGAGGATTGTTTGGTGGGACTCTTTGGTGGTGGCGCCTCGCCCGTGGTAAAAACCTCTCATTTTTTTTCGAATTCTTTGGGACTTTCTTTAAATACATACTGCTCACCAATGGGAGATGTTTTGCTAATTTTTGGTGATGGGTAATTGGGGATTATTTGGTAGGACTCTTTGGTGGTGGCGGCTCGTCCGTAGTGAAAACTTCCCATTTTTTCTTAAATTATTTGAGACGTTCTTTAAACATAGACTGCTCGCTAATGGAGGATGTTTTTCCAAATTCTGGTGAGGGCTCGTTGGTGCACTACGCCAAATAAGCTATTTAATAGCGCTTTTTTTGGTTTTTGATAGCGCTTAAAAGTGCTATTAACCGCGCCACTATTGTAAATATTTCTTATTTAATAGCACTTTAAAAGCGCATTGGACTGTTGTTGTTGTCGCTGATGGAGTTGATCATTTTGAATAAGAAGTGTATCTTGATAACCATGTTGCTGCTGTTGACCTTGGACTTCTTGATTGTTATTTGTTTTCTGAAGGAGGTGCTGAGACAGGTTTTCAGTAAGCACTTGGCCTTGTGGTTGCATCATATTAGAGGACACTGATTGTGGAATTGCGTGTGGTTGCTGAAGTTGCAAAGGCGAATTATTGTTTCCAGACTGAAGGTACTGGATAGGCTGTTGTTGAAAATTCATCATTTGTGGCCTCATGAGATATCCACTACCCATATTCTGCATTCCAGCTGCCGCCAACATGGCTTGATATTGTTGATTATGATCGTTTCCGAGTAAAGTTGGATCTAGTCTCTGCTGCATCCATGGTAACATGCCACCAGCACCTTGAAAATTAAGAGAATTGAGACCTTGGTCTGCAGGTCCACCTCTCATCCACATCAGACCATTTGCCACATCATCTCTTCCATCTGTAACAACATCCTAGGTAAGTAAAGGATATAAACAAGAAACCCTCAAAAAATTATGTAGTATTTCACAAACTGTCAACTGCTTTCGTATGAAATATGTAAATCAAGTTGCACAGATTGAATGATAGAGAAAAATGTACCAAGCAAAGAAGAGGTGCCAGGATGCCACGGTCGTTTCAATCTGAGGGGAAACAATGATGGATACATTGGGAATGTTGTTAAAGGCTCGATTTCCCATAATGAAACCCGTGGCTGTCTCTCTCCTGCTGTTGATTCATCCCAACCGACCTATTTACAGCGGATAAAAAGAAAGTAAGAGCGATTCATAAAAATTTCTATTGAAATTGAACCATAAAAGAATTAAAATGTTGCATCTGTATCTTTTGGTACAATCACAAGTAGACCCAAAATAAAACAACCATATATGCAATTTTATCTATGATTTCAAAAATCATATACAAATATGGCAGTTAATTTTCTTCCCAGGGTTGGTTTAGATTTACAAATGATATAAAACAGAATATATTTGAAAACTAATTAGGACTTGAAGGTATAACTACAAAAATCCCAAAAGTTACAGTGATTGAAGGCATATGTATACATTATTACTAGTATCGAAAACCAGGCAACGCACAAATGGAAAATCGATGAAAGAATAGATTAGTTACGATTAATAATTTGCTATGCTTAGTTATTGAGCAACAACAACATTTAACACTAAATCACAATGTAGCATTAGGCACACATTGACAATGAGATATTAAAATACATTTATTTTTTGCAAAGGATATTTATGTAATTTCAACAATTAGCTTAAGAAGGCCAAATAAGACTACAGCAACAAATTTAATGGTTTGATAGAGAAAAATAAATATCAAATACTAGAGGATTATATTGCATTTGTCAAGCATGACAAACTATCTAGAAAAACCTTGCATTAGATATATTGCAGAAAAGTGGCAGTGAATATAGATAATGGTATCTAATCTTTCTAACACATTGCAGTGTGACCTTAACTTGCCTTAACAGAACGCCAATGAGAACTCGGCCACCGAACCGCATCCAGATCACTTATCCCAGTTATTGTACCCATGTACCTGCAAAACAAAAGCAATACATTGATTAAGTAAATGCAAAATAGTATGGTGCAGTACAAGTAATTTTCCTGCAGACACTTAATTCTTCAGTAAGTAGCTTCAGGAAAAATAGTATCTGATGTCTATGTATACCTGCGGACACTTGATTCTTCAGTCTCGAAAAGCATCCTAAAGCGCATACCAACAGAAATACGTGTATGGTACACAGCTTTGATATATTTCGAAAGTGGTATGACAAACTCAGACGGACTAGCCCTGCCAACCTTTTCAACTCAAACTAGAACAAACTTTTCAACTCATCTTCAACCAATGTACTGACTTTTTTGCTCTCCATAAAACTTCATTCCATCCACTATGAATGATATATTCAGGACCTACCTTAGAAAATATGTTATGTCTTTTTTATGACCTTTTGGTGTACAATATGAATGAGAAGGAAAATTTAAGTCATTTGAAATAAACATTAACAACATCAGCAAATGACTGCTTTGTGGCTAACAACGCTAAATGCAGATTTGACAAAATAATATGTCCTAGGTTTTATAAAATAATATGTCCCTAGGTTTTACCTCATACTTCACCTTCTATTTCCTTACGGGAGGACATTCATGCTTCCTTAGAACTTACAGATTTTTAGCCGCAAACCTGTATTGGGTTGAAATACAAAAGAAAGTCGGAATTATGTGAGGTATTGTGACCTTTGTGACATAGGTCACAGACAAAACTATGCAACAACAATTCTCAGGATTATTACAACCTCGGTTAGTTCCTAATGTTGTTTGGGAAGAAGACCTTTCCTTAGATTGCATTACAGGATTTCTAAAGTCTAAGAGGTATGAAGCAGTGCTGGTAGCAGTGAATATACTGTCCAAATTAAAAGGAGTGTGCTTGTGTTTGTTCCAACAAGAGAATAAAAGAGATTTTAATTGAAGAAAAATACAAATTACATTTTTCATCTCTTTGTAATAAACATTTAAGACTATTAACTATAAAAGTATTACACTCATTCTAAATACCTAACTTTTGGAAGGGAGATAAAATTAGTTTAGACATTAGGAGAAATGTAACTTCCTTCTACTTAATTTCAACCAAACACAGAAGAGCAAAACATCTAATATGAAAACAGAGGAAGTAAATCTAATTTTGATTAGTTGTCAAACGGTGTAGCATTTTGTGTGACGCGTCCAATGCTTGTTATTCATTCTCACAGGGGTGAACTACAGAAAATATGTAAATAATTAAGGCCATGAAAAAGAAATAGTTCAAGCTAGTGTATTACAAGATACTGGAAAAATTCTTTTGACTAACTAAACCTTACAAAAACTAAGAATAATCCCTTCCAACTAGCAGATACAAAACTAACTCAAAAACTGGGGAGGCGTACTTTTGAGGTACCAAAACTTTGACATATCAAAACTCACAGCAACATTTCTGCAATCTGGATTGCGTTAAGTGCAGCTCCCTTGCGAACTTGATCCCCGCAAACAAAAATGTCCAACCTAACAACTCAAATTTCACGAACCCTCACAACTGCAACTTAACCTCACAAACCCTCATTACAGCTACTCAAAATCACGAATATCCGTCAACACAAAGACATCATAACGCTCACAAACAACACAGAGAATCAACGGATAGCAGAAACTGAAAAAAGAAATATTACCGGATACAAATGAAGAGAGGGATGACGACGACGTAGGTGAGATGACAAAGGGTTGAGTTCGACGGAGAATGAGATTTGCTTGTTCTTTCTTTTCGGTGTTTCCTCCTTCTGTTTGAGTGTCGTTTGAGAAGTGAATCTGAATCTGAATCGATGGTGAATCCGATGGCTGAAGAATGGATCCGGGTGAAAACCGAAGGAAGGGATGACGGTGGTAAATCAATGACTAACGGCGGTGAATCAATGAAAACCGAAGGAAGCAGAGGAAGATTTGACGGTGGTGAATCAGTTGGGAGAATCAATAGCTAAGAAGGAAGCAGAGGAAGATAGTGTTTTTGTTTTTGGCGTGAGTGGATGCGGGAAGCAGAGGAAGATATTTTCTGAAAATGTGTTTTGTTTTTTTTTTTTTATCAATTAATTAATTAATTCATTATTATATATAACATAGCGCTTTTTAATAAATGCTATTATATAGGTAGTCAAATAATAGCGTTTTATACAAAATGCTATCTTAAAGAAGTTTAATAATAGCGTTCTGGTACAAAGTGCTATCATAATTACATAGTCTGTATTATATAATAGCGCTCGATTAAAAAGTGCTATTATAAATGTGTTTTTTCCATTTTAATAGCATTTTTTTTAAAAGTGCTATTAAATTAGGTGATACAAAAAATCATTTTTGGCGTAGTGGTGGGTGACGACGGTAAGGATTTTTTGGTAGGACTCTTTGGTGGTTGTGGCTCGTCTGTGGTGAAAACTTCTGATTTTTTCTCGTATTCTTTGGGACTTTCTTTAAACACAGACTGCTCACCAATGAGGTTGTTTTGCCAATTTCTGGTGACGACTCATTGGTGGGTGACGATGGTGACGATTGTTTTGTGGGACTCTTTGGTGGTGGCGGCTCATCCAAAGTGAAAAATTACTGTTTTTTTCTCGGATTCTTTGAGACTTTCTTTAAACATAGACTGCTTACCAATGGGGGTGATTTGCCAATTTCTAGTGACGACTCGTTGGTGGGTGACCAATGGTAAGGATTGTTTGGTTGGAAACTTTGGTGGTGGCGGCTCGTCCTTATTAAAAACTTTCCATTTTTTTCTCGGATTCTTTGGAACTTTCTTTAAACACAGACTCTCAGTAATAGGGGATGTTTTATCAATTTCTGGTGATGACTCGTTGGTGGGTGACGATGATGAGGATTGTTTGGTAGGACTCTTTGATGGTGGAGGATCGCCGGTGGTGAAAACTTCCCTTTTTTTCTCGGATTCTTTGGGATTTTCTTTAAACACAGACTGCTCAGCAATGGGGGATGTTTTGCCACTTTCTGGTGACTGCTCATTGGTGGGTGACGATGGTGAGGATTTTTCGGTCGTACTCTTTGGTGGTGGCGAATCTCCCGTGTTGAAAACTTCTCATTTGTTTCAGATTCTTTTTGACTTCCTTTAAACATAGATTGTTCACTAATGGGGGATGTTTAGCCAATTTTTGGTGACGGCTCGTTGGTGGGTAACGACGGTGAGGATTATTTGGTGGGATTCTTTGGTGGTGGCGGCTCGCCCGTCGTGAAAACTTCCCATTTGTTCTCAAATTCTTTGAGACTTTCTTTAAACACAGACTGCTCACAAATGGGGGATATTTTGCCAATTTCGGGTGACGGATCGTTGGTGTGTGACGATGGTGAGGAATGTTTAGTGAGATTCTTTGGTTGTGGTGGCTCGCTAGTGGTAAAAACTTCTTATTTTTTCTCGGATTCTTTGGGACTTTCTTTAAATACAGACTGTTCACCAATGGGGGATGTTATGCTAATTTCAGGTGATGGCTCGTTGGTTGATGACGACAGTGGGGATTATTTAGTAGGACTCTTTGGTGGTGGCGGCTCGCCCGTGGTGAAAACTTCCCATTTTTTCTCGAATTCTTTGAGACTTTATTTAAACATATATTGCTCACCAATGGGGGATGTTTTACCAAATTCTAGTGAGGGCTCATTGGTGGGTGACGACTGTGAGGATTGTTTGGTGGGACTCTTTGGTGGTTGCCGCTCGTCTGTGGTGAAAACTTCCCATTTTTTCTCGGATTCTTTGGGACTTTCTTTAAACACAAACTGCTTACGAATAGGAGTTGTTTTGCTAATTTCTGGTGACGGCTTGTTGGTGGGTGACGACGGTGAGGATTATTTGGTGGGACTCTTTGGTGGTGGCGGCACATCCATGGTGAAAAACTCACATTTTTCTCGGATTTTTGGTACTTTCTTTAAGCACATACTGCTCACCAATGGGGTAGGTTTTCCAATTTATGATGATGGATCATTGTTAGGGATGACAAGGAGGAATGTTTGGTGCGACTCTTTGGTAGTGACGGCTCGCCCGTGGTGAAAACTTCTCATTTTTTCTCGGATTCTTTGGGATATTCTTTACACTGATTGCTCACCAATAGGGGATGTTTTGCTAATTTCTGGTGACGGCTTGTTGGTGGGTACCGACGGTGAAGATTGTTTTGTTGGACTCTTTGGTGGTGGCGGTTCTGTCGAGGTGAAAACTTCCCATTTTTTCTTGGATTTTTTGGCACTATCTTTAAACACAGACTCCTCACCAATGGGGAATGTTTTTCCAATTTCTGGCGATGACTCGTAGGTGGGTGACGACTGTGAGGATTATTTGGTTGGACTCTTTTATGGTGTCGGCTCGTCCGTGGTGAAAACTTCTGATTTTTTCTTGGATTCTTTTGGGCTTTCTATTCACAAACTGCTCACCAATGGAGGTGTTTTGCCAATTTCTGGTGACGGCTCGTTGTTGAGTGACGATGGTCAGGATTGTTTTGTTTGAATCTTTTGTGGTGGTGGCTCGCCCTTGGTAAAAACATCCCATTTTTTCTCAGATTCTTTGGGACTTTCTTTAAACACTGACTGCTCACCAATAGGTGATGTTTTGCCAATTTCTGGTGACAGCTCGTTGGTGTGTGACGACGGTAAGGATTATTTGGTTGGAATCTTTGCTGGTGGCGGCTTGCCCGAGGTGAAAACTTCTCATTTTTTCTCGGATTCTTTGGGACTTTCTTTAAACACTGACTGCTCACCAATGGGGAATGTTTTTTCAATTTCTGGCGATGACTCGTAGGTGGGTGACAACGGTAAGGATTGTTTGGTTGGACTCTTTGGTGGTGTCGACTTGTCCGTGCTGAAAACTTTTGATTTTTCACGAATTCATTGGGACTTTCTTTAAACACAGACTGCTCACCAATGGGGGTGTTTTGGCAATTTCTGGTGATGGCTCATTGGTGGGTGACAATGGTGAGGATTGTTTTGTTGGAATCTTTGATGGTGGCGGACCTCCCGTGGTAAAAAATTCCCATTTTTTATCGGATTCTTTGGGACTTTCTTTAAACATAGATTGCTCACCAATAGGGGATGTTTTGCCAATTTCTGGTGACGGCTCATTGGTGGATGATGACAGTGGGGATTATTTAGTAGGACTCTTTGGTGGTGGTGGCTCGCACGTGGTGAAAACATCCCATTGTTTCTCGGATTCTTTGAGCCTTTCTTTAAACATATACTGCTCACCAATGGGGGATGTTTTTCCAAATTCTAGTGAGGGCTCATTGGTGGGTGACGATTGTGAGGATTGTTTGGTGGGACACTTTGGTGGTTTCCGCTCGTCTTTGATGAAAAATTCCCATTTTTTCTCGGATTTTTTGGGACTTTCTTTAAACACAAACTGCTAACCAATGGAGGACGTGTGATACGGTGAGAGAATTGACTTGAAGGTTTTGCGTTTGATCACAAATGTTGCGTTTAGCAAGAGTCGCCACCGACTTTTCTTTTATCCAAAAGGAAAGTTAAAAAAGCACAGGAAAGACCTTTGAGATTATTTCTTGAGTTCGGGGGGTAGATTATGAAAAGGGAAGGTATTAGCACCTTTTTCATCTATGGTTTTCCATGGGCTCTTAGTTACTTGCTAGATCACTTGTTTTTGTTTGAAATTGTGCTTTGTGTGGTTTTTGAAAGTATTTTGTAAAGAGGCCATTGTTTAGGAAATCTTTGTAATGATTCTGGTTCGTGAGAATGTATACAAAGATGTTGATCTTTTTGAAAATGTTTTCAATGTTTGTAAGATGTTTGGAAATGTGTGTCTTTGTTTTGAAAATAGCAAGGATATTTGTTTTGAAATGGAGCAAGTAATTAAGAGCAATCTACCTACTCAAATGTCTTTCTAGTTCATTTTCTTTTCCTTTGATATTGTTGTCTTACCATTGATTTGGTAAGCAACCCTATCTTTGGATGTTAACGGGACGGGCGTGGGTCATCGTATATCCATGATTAGCAATATTGCAAAGTATCTTAGCATTTTTGAGGGACTAAAATTATTTTGTAAGGCAACTTTGAATAGCGTCATCGAGGGACTATGATCTTATATTTGTTTGTTTTTGCTAAGATACTTTACATGCATAATATGGCCATTTTGTATAAGGCAACCAAGTGGAGTAACCCTAGGGGTGCTTGTGTGCAAGTGTGTCATTTTCATGCTTGTTTTTGTATTGAATTAGGGTTTTCTATTTGATTGATTTTTATTTTCCCATGCAAACCCTAATTACTAGCATATTATGTAAAAGCGATAAATTGCTAAATTAAAAATTACTACGCTATTACAACACTTGTGGGAGGGGGATATACAATTTATGAATGGGGATTGCAATAATATAAACCTAATTAATCTATTACAACCAAATTGAATATGTACAAATAATTGGAATAAATAGTGTACAAGATGAATTAAATATGCAAAGATATGTAAATGCAAAGAAGATTTTTGTTTGATTTTTTTATATGAAAAAAGCTTTAACCTAAAACCTAATTAGAAAATAAATAAATCAAGATTACCTTAAATCAATTAAGAAAAGGAATTATTTAAGAAAATGTTTTTTGAATAAACCCTAATTCTATTTGATTAAAAGAAAATAAGTTTCTTTAAGAAAAAAGTATTTTTGTATTTTTTGTCTTGAAAATAATATATGACATTATGAGATATTTTTGGTCTTTTTTATATTAAAATAATATATTTAATGGGTATAAAGAAAAAATAAATATTAACCTAGTTCTAATTTAATTTACAAGTTTATTTAATAAAAAATAGATAATATATAACTAAATAAAAATATTTTTTGTTAGAAAAATAAAATAACATAAGCCAAAATATAAATCTATCATTTTCATATTTTTTTATGATTTTTAATATTAAGAAAAATATATTTAAGAAAATAAAATGAGAATAAAATAAATAAATAAAATGATATTGGGCCAGGGGTATCATAAGTACACAGGGTATAAATGTTAAAAAAAATCTAAGGGTCCATGAAACAGAAGCCCAATGCTGCAAAGGGACAAAAAAATGGAAAAAATGTGAGAAAATGCAAAAGGAAGCGCGCTGAGGCTCGAACCCGTGACCTCTAGCAATTACGCGCGCTGCCTTACCACTGGGGCGGCTGTACATCCGTTTATATAAATAAAATTATAAATATATATTAGAAAATGCCTCCTGAAGGCAACTTCATCTTCAACCTTGAGCCATGGCCGGACCACCTGTATCTTCCTCATTTCTCCATAAAAATGGAAAGTTCAAACATGAAAGTTGTGGTGTTTCTTCCCACAAATTCAAACATATAACTTATGTAAACTAAAAGTCAAAGATAAAATCTAATTTTAATGGCCCTAATTTGAAACCTAATTTTTGCAGAAATTTCAAATCCAAAAATATCTATACACATTTAATATAAATGAAAACTATGAACATGGTTAGCTTTAGAGCAAGGATATCTACATTTTGCTTTCACAAATCAGGACCAAATGATGCTTGTATGAA